GAGCATGTGGGTTGCTTAATTACTGCATCTTTCTGGCTGAGCCCGGGGGGTCAGGAGCAGGTGGGCTTCTCAGCTACTTAGAAGTTGCCTGATGCTTCATGTGTGGATGCCACCTGTGCGGTTCTGTTTTTAAAACGATGGGTACCAGCATCTGTATACATAATTTAAAATAAATTTACATTCTCATTCTGCCTGAGATGAGAAGATTGTGTACTGGTGCGATGAGAGAGAAGAGTAAGGATTTGGGGAAGGGTTGAGAGAGGCATTTTATACCATTTTAAGACTCAAAGCTCTCAATATGAAGTTCTTCCTGTTAAGCAGTGCTGGGCGGGTGAATGGGTGGTTGGGTGGATGGATAGATGGATGGATCTATCTATCCAGATGGCTGGGAAGAAGGGAGGGACCTATGGAAGGCTAGCAGTTCATTTTAGAGTTGGTGGAATTAGAGAGGTTGTTTTTTGTTTGTCCATATCCATCTGTCTTTTCTGAATTTTTTCTGTAATTCATGAAAGTAGGACGTGGGAAGCGGGAAGTGAAATAACCCTGGAGAGGGCAAAGTCATTAAATGTGTGTTAGTCATTACCGGTTTTCGTTCCATATTTCCATTTCTTCCATACGTATATTTCTCTGTGTGCTCTTGGGCACATGGAAGGGTGCACCTTCTGAAGCTAAGTGTAGCCCACATGACTTGCTCTGCCAATCAAACATGAGCAGAAGTGACATCTGCCCTGCTTCCGTGTGCACTTTGTCCCATTCTCTTCCCCACGCTGTAGAAGCGAGTGATGTTGCCGAAGGTGGAGGCCCCATCTGCCTGGGATGGGCGTGAAGTATGGGCGAGTGGGAATCCTAGGCTGTTTAAAGACATTGAGGCTTGGGAGCTGTTCCATAAGGATAGCCAAGTGCATCCTGATTGATCCGAAGCCACTTGTGTGAGCCATCCTAAGGGACTTGGGCCGTATTTCATTGGCCATTCTAAGCTACAAAGGGGTTTTAAGCTGGGGCTTTGTATATGTGCATGTTTTGCCAATCCAAAGAGCAGACTGAGGCCAAACAAGGCCTCGGGTTTTTATGTTCTAGATGGCGTATGCTAATTGAACACCTCTTGATAAAAAAAAAAAAAAAAAAAAA